TCCTAATTGCATTGCTCTCATGTGCAGAACTGCTTTCACCACCATAGTGAACTGAGTTAAACCATATTATATAACATTATTCCTAAATTAAAGGAAAAAAATCAAGGAAATCTCTCCAAAAGTGGCACTTCCAACATACGTTCCCTAAGCTTTACTCAGCATTGGATATTATAGAAGGTAACTTAATTTTTATTAGAAAGATCAACTTGTTAAGGTTACAACAAAAAATGTCTGGCAATCGAGAACTTACCACGCAGTCTGGTTGGCCTTTCCTGTGAGATTTCCTTGGCCAGCATAGGTTCTGTTATAAGACTTTAATTTCTTTCATGCCCAACCTCTATCATAGCATCTCAGTTAGTCTCTGTTCTACTTAGACTAGGTGGTGTGAGAAATATGGAAGAAATGAAAAGGAAAGACACACACAATAATTACCATTGATGTCAACGCATACTTAGTACTTATATGGCCTGTGTAAATCCTTATAAAACTGAATAGAGCTTTTGCTGGACTGGCCTAATATAAACATATTTATTGGATATAAATATATGTAAACTAGTTGAAAAAGGCTTGACCAGATAAAGGGAAGTTTGTATTTGGGTCCAGCATAGAGATTGCATTGGAGGGAGAGGGTAGTATAGAGTAAGCCAGAATCAAGTAGGTATTTTGAAGAACAGAAGCGTTTCGTATAAACAAGCTTGAAAAGTAGAAGATATTAGGGATTTTATGTAAATTATGCTTTACATTTAATATTGATAACCTGGAGAAAATTTGCCTCTATTTACCTAGCTGACTGGACATGTGAATTGTTTGATATACCACTCAGAACAGTCTCCTCACATAAGAGATTTTGCTACGCTTCAGATTTTATAGCAAATTGGCACATAATAAATGGAAAGGCTAGGTCCAAATGAATGAAAGATCTGTGGTAAGTAGATAGAACACCCTCTTCATTTTTCTTTGTATTGAGTGCTATAAAACTAATTTCACCATTTCTTCATGAGACTGTTTAATAATGTTTACATTACTGCCTTTTATTTACATTGTTTAGGTAAATCCTACATCAGGTTGTGCAGAACAGTCATTTTGCGGAAAAATAACATTTTTTCCATTGTGAAGAGAAAACACTGAATGTGGAAAATCCATGATCTTTCGTTTGCATTCTGCAAGTTTTCATGCAAAAACTCAAGTTATGTGAACAACGCTTATATTGCTTATAAATCATTTCATTTAAGCAGATTAATCAGGTCCTATTTTTGCATTCATATATTTGGAAATGCATATTAAATGTATATGTTGTCAGTTACACTCAGATTTAATAGTTGCAAAATATCAATAAGCAGATGCCGTATCTTCTTGGTACAAGTATGTAACCAAAACCATATTTACCGCTCATAAATTCTGTTTCCTCTCTGTATCTGTTTGGCACAGTTGACGTGTTAACCAAAGCTGTGTGGATACGCAGTGCGGACTGAGTGCCATTTATACGTTTGTGTATTATCACGAATAAGCAAGCCCTGTACTGTTACTCTGTTTTGTGATTGTTAACAATGCTCTGAAGAATACAAAGACTGACTGAAGTAAAAATAAATCGAATAAGAAACAAAACAAAGCAGCAAACAAAAACCTTAACTCTCTATATTAATGAAAAATCATCAAACTAGCACACATATTGTTCTAAAAAGATGCACAACTTCTGAGGTCTCTTGAGAGCCATAAAAAAGTTGTTTTCTTCATGTAAGAAATATTTTGAGAGGATACGTGTATGTAAGTTGTATCAATTGTTCCAAATTATTTATCACTGTAACCTCATTCCATTATGCTCATATAAGACATTAGGTCAAGCAGTATCTTTGATTAAACTAAAGTATGTGTCAATTAAATTTTAATAGCTTTTTATTAATCAAAACATATATCATTTAGAAACTCTGATCACTAGAGAAATTCTGTCTCAACATGAAGTTAATATAATTGCAACTAAAATAAATAAAAATGAAAAATGTGAAATGTGTTTTTTAAACAACATTGTGTTTTATAATATGCTTATTGAAATATCAAAAAATGTCTGAGAATACCTATTAGTCCTTTAAATGACTTGTATAGGACCGTGAAGATTCCAGGCTAGAAACCGCTGAGATCAGAGTCATCTGCTTGGATAAGCACATTCAAATATTTAAGCTCTGCTCCTTGTTGTCTTTAAATAATTCTCCGATCTATTGCATCAATTACAGCAGGCTCATAAAAATAAGACATGTTTTTAAAACTTTTTATTGTAGAAGTTTCAGGTTCACAACATTATAATTCAACATCTGTATACACTGCAAAGCAATCATCACATGTCTAGTTACCATCCGTCACCATACAGGTGACCCCTTCACCCATTTTGCCCACTCTCTCAACTTCCTTCTCCTTGGGTAACCACTGATCTTTCTTGTATCTATTCATTTGTTTTTGTTTTATTTTGCTTGGTTGGTTTATTTTTGTTTGTTTTTTTTTCCCACATATGAATGAAATCATATAGTATTTGTCCTTTCTGTGTCTGATTTAGTTCACTGAGCATAATACCTTCAAGTTCCATCCATGTTGTC